AGGAAGGAAACTGATTTTATGGGTAACAGTTTGTTGGTGATGGAGAGAATATCCTCAAATATGTTTAAAATCTAATGTAAAAGGTTCCTGTGAAATAGGAATGATTTCCATTTCCTGAGTAATATTCTTAAGCCTTTTACTGAAGTGCAAATTTAGACACTGCAGCTCAGATGAATGTAGACCAGAGGTACCCCCAGAACTGCCGGGACCTCCAGCTCAGACACACACAGAGCTTTTCCTGAATGTCCAGGAGAAGGGAACTTGGCTGGGGGCGGGGGGGGGGATCATCTGATTTTGTGATAAAATGGAAGGACATATTAGGTAGGAATCTTAGAAATTTAAAAGGAGAGATTTTTCTGACAGAAGCTATTTGCATAATTGAGTCAATGTGGTTTTTACTGGGATCAAAGTTTTGAATTTTAAAAATGTTCTGGATAATAAATTATATTGGATACACAGTAAACAACAGCATGTTTTCTTACTTTGATAAGCACTGCCACATTGCCTACCCAACAAATATCTCAGCTTTCATCCTAACTGGTACAATTGAGCATTGAGGTTCTCAGAATCCTCTGGGTACTACATTGACCATTTGCTTATGAAAGTTGAATATCACTTAAAATTTAATGGTTTCTAAGTTGTCAAGTTCTCACAGTCATCTGGAGGACTCCTTTACTTGCTTGTGATGTAAATTTCCTAAAAAGGAAATGTATTCTTTTAAATGTTCAAACCTCTAGGTTCATAAAAACCCCTACTATTCTCCACTTTTTACTATCTAAGGGATTGGAACCAGGCTAATTGTGTCAAAAAACTAATTTTATTTTCATATAATTTTATATCTTAGAAAAGGTTACTCTGAAGTTTTTATAACTTCTCTTTGAAATATTTTTGGACACCATGTCAATATACGGTTTACTGCTTTAATGCACTGTATTCTAAGAAGTTACTTGCTTTTATTCTTTAGGCACATAGCCGTGTGTGTTCTATAGATAATGAACTTTAAATTGACATTTGTTTGCAGCAGTGTTGTGGTTTAATGGGACAATCTTTCCTAACTGCATTTATTTTCTACACAGGAAGCATCAAGACAATCATGCCCATGAGAACTCCAATCTATTCAGGTAATCATTACCTTTTTAAACAGTTCCAAAAATATGTTTTGTCTCCCACATTATGAACATTTTATAATTATTTATTTGTCTTGACTTACCTGCTTTTTCTAAAGTTCTGTGACAAATCTTTGATTCTTATAGACTTCATCTAGCTCTACTAATTCACTGTTTTTAAGCTATAACTATATCTATAGTACATATTATATATTATGTTATATATTAATACATATGTATAGTGTTATATTAAATATTTATAAATATACATTTTATATTAACCTATAAAATACATCTACATAGAGAAATATGTACACCGGCATACAAGAACTTGGTTAGAAATAGCTATAAATTTATATTAATGGAGGCTTTAAACATTTTTATGATTTCATAAATAATATTTATCAAAATTTTTCTTTAAATTATTTTCTAACCAAAATTAAGGTATATTTAAAAGAATGACCACAATTCAAGCATTGACTTAATGCTAAGTTTGCTATTAATATCTTTTAATTGTGGAAATTATGTAGCAGCCATAAAAAGAATTTGTTAAAGTAAAAGTCATTTTCAATTCATGCAATTTCAGCCTGGTTATTTAGGAATGATTTTGTGGTGTGTGTTTTTTTTTTTTAACTTGATAACTGTTTTGACAATCTCTTTGTATTTCTTTTTCCCCCAGATCATTTTATCTTAGTGAAACTGACAATTGAACTTTGTTCTAGTTGATGGGCAAAATTTCTCCTAGACTATTCACCCTCCCAATTTCATCCTAGTTGAAAATATTCAAATGCCATAAGAAATTTTTAGAGATTTACATTAGCTTTTGGATGGACTTTGCTACAATGGAGAGAACTGTGTTATAGCCCTGGTCCAAGGACATTACCATTTATTGCCCATAGACTGTGGGGTGAGTGTGAAAGTCTCCAAAGAGAAGGACCATCTGGCAAGTTTGCAGACACCCTGGAACATGGAAACAAGCAAGCTTTGAAACGCACGGCTCTGGTGACACTCCATGAGTCTGCAGGGCTTTCACGCGAATTAGCCCTTAAGATCTTGCGTAACAAAATGGACACTGGGGACACAGCTCTAGGACAAAAAGCTACCTCAAGGTCTGGAGAAACTGATAAAGCGTCAGGTAGATGGAGACAGGAGCAATCAGCTGTTATTAAGATGAGCACTTTTGGCAGTCAAGAAGGACAGCGGCAACCACAAATAGATCCGGAGCAAATCGCAAACACAGCATCAGCACAACTCTTCGGCTCTGGGAAACTGGCCTCCCCTAGCGAGGTGGCCCAGCACGTCACAGAGAAGCAATACCCACTGCACCGTCCGAGTCCTTACTCATGCCAACATTCACTCTCCTTCCCTCAGCACTCAGTGCCACAGGGTGTCATGCACAGCCACAAGCCACATCAGAGCCTCGAAGGCCCTCCCTGGCTTTTCCCTGGCCCTTTGCCATCTGTTGCCTCCGAGGACTTATTTCCTTTTCCGATCCATGGCCACAGTGGTGGTTACCCGAGAAAAAAGATTTCAAGTTTGAACCCTGCTTTTAGCCAATACTCCCAGAAAAGTCTCGAACAGTCAGAAGATGCTCACAAGAAAGAGCACAAACCCAAGAAGCCCGGCAAGTACATTTGCCCTTACTGCAGCAGGGCATGTGCCAAACCCAGCGTGCTGAAAAAGCACATCAGGTCCCATACCGGGGAGCGGCCCTACCCATGTATACCGTGTGGCTTCTCTTTCAAGACAAAGAGCAATTTGTACAAGCACAGGAAGTCGCATGCCCATGCAATTAAGGCAGGCTTGGTCCCTTTCACAGAGTCAGCTGTCTCTAAATTGGACCTAGAGGCTGGTTTTATTGATGTGGAAGCAGAAATACATTCAGATGGTGAGCAGAGTACAGACACCGATGAGGAGAGCTCTTTATTCGTGGAGGCTTCTGACAAAATGAGTCCGGGCCCACCCCTCCCTTTGGACATGGCCAGCAGAGGGGGCTACCACGGGTCCTTGGAAGAGTCGCTGGGTGGCCCCATGAAGGTGCCGATTCTGATTATTCCTAAAAGCGGGCTTCCTTTGCCTAATGAAAGCTCTCAGTATATTGGCTCCGATATGCTCCCCAATCTGTCTTTAAATACTAAGGCTGATGACTCTCACACGGTGAAACAGAAACTTGCACTCAGGCTGTCAGAGAAGAAAGGACAAGATTCTGAGCCATCGCTAAACCTTCTGAGCCCGCACAGTAAAGGCAGCACTGACTCCGGTTATTTTTCTCGCTCAGAAAGTGCAGAGCAGCAGATAAGCCCCCCGAACACAAACGCGAAGTCTTATGAAGAAATCATCTTTGGAAAATACGGCCGGCTTAGTCCTAGAAGCACACTCAGTGTTACCACCACCAGTCAGGAGCGCGCCACGATGGGGAGGAAGGGGATGATGGAGCCATTACCTCACGTCAACACCAGGTTAGACGTCACGATGTTTGAAGATCCTGCGTCACAGCTGATCCCCAGCAAAGGAGAGATGGATCCCGGTCAGACGAGCATGCTGAAATCCACTAAATTCAACCACGAGTCCAGACAATCCCAGGCTGTCCCATCATCCGTCAGGAATGAAGGAAAACTTTACCCTGCCAACTTCCCAGGCAGCAACCCGGTTCTCTTAGAAGCTCCTGTGGACTCTTCACCCCTAATTCGAAGCAACTCGATGCCAACTTCTTCAGCAACGAATCTAAGTGTCCCCCCTTCTTTGAGAGGAAGCCACTCATTCGATGAGAGGATGACGGGTTCCGATGACGTGTTCTACCCAGGGACCGTGGGAATCCCCCCTCAGCGCATGCTCCGCAGGCAAGCTGCGTTCGAGCTGCCGTCGGTCCAGGAGGGGCACGCGGAGACGGAGCAGCACGGCAGGATGCTGAAGAGCATCTCGGGTTCATCCCTGAAGGAGAAGAAGCTGATTCCCGGGGACAGGGGCGGCTATGACTACGACGTCGGCCGGAAACCCTACAGGAAGTGGGACGACTCTGAAACGCCAAAGCCAAGCTACAGGGACATGCCCGGCGTGAGCCCCCTGAAGCACGGCGGCGAGTACGTCGCGGATCCCTCGGGGCCGTCGCAGGGCGCGCCGAGCATGTTCGGAACCACGTGTGAAAACAGGAAGCGCCGGAAGGAGAAGAGTGTGGGAGACGAGGAGGACACCCCCATGATCTGCAGCAGCGCGGTCGGCGCGCCCATGGGCCTCCTGGCCGCAGAGTACGACCCCAAGGTGCAGGGGCAGGAAGGCGCGCCGCACCTGCCGGCGGGAGGCAGCCCCTCTCTGGGGTCAGAGGAGTTACCTGCAGCCCCTGATCCAGACAAGGTGTCAGACCTCGGGGGCAGGAAGCCCCCGGGGAACGTGATTTCTGTGATCCAGCACACCAACTCTCTGAGCCGACCCAATTCCTTCGAAAGGTCCGAGTCGTCCGAGCTGGTGGCCAGCGCCCAGGAGAAGGCCTCTTCGCCGTCGGAGGCCGGTGACAGCGAGGTTTCCGAGGCCCCGGTGAGTCCCGAGTGCAGGCGTACCACGCGCAGCCCCGGCTGGTCCGCCAGCACAACATCCAGGTTCCGGAGATCCGCGTGACAGAGGAGCCCGATAAGCCGGACAAGGAGAAGGAAGCGCCGAGCAAGGAGCCGGAGAAGCCGGTGGAGGAGTTTCAGTGGCCGCAGAGGAGCGAGACGCTGTCCCAGCTGCCCGCCGAGAAGCTGCCGCCCAAGAAGAAGCGGCTGCGCCTGGCGGACATGGAGCACTCCTCCGGGGAGTCCAGCTTCGAGTCCACGGGCACCGGCCTCTCCCGCAGCCCCAGCCAGGAAAGCAACCTGTCCCACAGCTCCAGCTTCTCCATGTCTTTCGAGAGGGAAGACGCCGTGAAGCTGGCCGCCCCGGGGAAGCAGGATGAGTTGGGGAAGCACTCGGAGTTCCTGACGGTCCCCGCTGGTTCCTACTCGCTGTCTGTGCCGGGCCACCACCACCAGAAAGAGATGCGGCGCTGCTCCTCCGAGCAGATGCCTTGCCCGCACCCAACGGAAGTCCCAGAAATGCGGAGCAAATCCTTTGATTATGGGAACCTGTCCCACGCTCCGGGGGCCGGGGCGCCGGCCTCCACGTTATCCCCGTCCCGGGAGAGGAAGAAGTGCTTCCTGGTGCGGCAGGCTTCCTTCAGCGGCTCTCCCGAGATCGCCCAGGGCGAGGGGGGCGCAGACCTGGGCGTGAAGCAGGAGCAGATGGAGCACCTGCACGCCGGCCTGAGGTCCACGTGGCCCCACGCCCCGTCCTCTGTGCTGCCCCCTCTCCACGCAGAGGACCCAGGGAAGCAGCTGGTGGGTCCTTGTGCCCAGCTGAGCTCGGGGCCACTGCACCTGGCCCAGCCACAGCTCATGCACATGGACAGCCAAGAAGCTCTGAGGAATCCCCTGCTACAACCAACATCCTATCTGACGAGCAAGCACTTGTCTGAACAGCCACATTTATTTCCACACCAAGAGACCATCCCGTATTCTCCCATCCAGAATGCCTTGTTTCAGTTCCAGTATCCAACCGTCTGCATGGTTCACTTACCCGCTCCGCAGCCTCCTTGGTGGCAGGCCCATTTCCCACCTCCCCTGGCGCCACACCCTCAGAAGAGCTACGGCAAGCCTCCTTTCCAGGCAGAAATCCACCCTAGCTACCCACTGGAGCACGCCACGGAGCACACTGGAAAGAAAGCCACTGATTATGCGCACACAAAAGAGCAAGCTTACCCGTGTTATTCAGGAACATCAGGCCTACACTCAAAGAACCTCCTTCCAAAGTTTCCGTCGGACCAGAGCACCAAGTCAGTGGATACTCCCTCCGAGCAGGTTCTTCAAGAAGATTTCACCTCGGCAGCCGCTGGGCCTTTGCAGTCCTTACCGGGAACAGTGGTTCCTGTTAGGATCCAGACCCACGTCCCGTCCTATGGGAGTGTCATGTACACAAGCATCTCTCAGATACTCGGGCAGAACAGTCCTGCGATTGTCATATGCAAAGTCGACGAGAATATGACCCAAAGAACACTGGTAACCAATGCGGCCATGCAAGGGATAGGGTTGAACATTGCCCAGGTGTTGGGGCAGCATGCAGGCTTGGAAAAATACCCCATCTGGAAAGTACCTCAAACCTTACCCCTCGGCTTAGAATCCTCAATCCCCTTGTGCTTACCTTCCACCTCGGACAGTGCCGCCTCCCTGGGAGGGAGCAAGCGGATGCTCTCTCCAGCCAGCAGCTTAGAACTCTTCATGGAAACAAAGCAGCAGAAAAGGGTCAAGGAAGAAAAGATGTACGGACAGATTGTGGAGGAGCTCAGTGCTGTGGAGCTAACCAACTCAGATATCAAAAAGGATCTCTCCCGCCCGCAGAAACCCCAGCTGGTTCGACAAGGCTGTGCTTCTGAGCCAAAGGACGGCTTGCATTCAGGGTCATCTTCCTTCTCCTCTCTGTCCCCCTCCTCATCTCAAGACCATCCCTCTGCCAGCGCGCCCCTGAGGGAGCCATTCCCTCCCAGCTCCAGGGCACCCTCTCTCTCGCAGAAGTCCAGTGGGCCTTCTGAGAGCAAAGAGTCCTCAGATGAATTAGATATTGATGAGACCGCCTCCGATATGAGCTTGAGCCCACAGAGTTCCTCATTGCCGCTGGGAGACAGTCAGCTCGAAGAGCAGGGAAGGGGCCCGAAGCTGCCCGTTGGCATGCTGGTCCACATGGCCTCCGGCCCAAGCAGGAAAGTAGCAAACTCGACACTTCTTTTCACCGATGTGGCAGATTTCCAGCAGATTCTTCAGTTCCCCAGTCTGCGGACAACAACTACTGTGAGTTGGTGCTTCTTGAATTATACAAAACCCAATTATGTGCAACAGGCCACCTTCAAATCCTCGGTTTATGCTTCATGGTGCATTAGTTCCTGTAATCCAAACCCATCAGGATTGAATACCAAGACCACTCTGGCTCTTCTGAGGTCCAAGCAAAAAATCACCGCAGAAATTTATACTCTGGCTGCTATGCACAGGCCCGGAACCGGCAAGCTGACGTCATCGAGCGCTTGGAAGCAATTCGCTCAGGTAATGGATGTTGTTCTGAAAGCATTCTGCATTGTGGATTTGATTGCTGAGCAGAATACATAGTGAAGGGCATTCTAAAAATTGCAAATAAAATGAAGGTTTGAGTTGGGGGAGTCCTGTGCAGCATTAGGCTTGGCCCTGGGTAAGAGAAGCCATCGGTGTGAGCTCAGTTATTAGCATCCCAGGAAAAGTCCTAACCACAAGTATCCCCTCCACCCAAGTGCCAAGAGATTCTACCTCCGAGACTGATTCCTTTGGGCTCTTCTTCCTTCTGACCTGTGTTAATGACCTAGCACGGTGGTCGGCAAACTGCGGCTCGCGAGCCACGTGCGGCTCTTTGGCCCCTTGAGTGTGGCTCTTCCTAAGCCTTAGGAGGACCCTAATTAAGTTAATAACAATGTACGTACCTATATAGTTGAAGTGTAAAAAATTTGGCTCTCAAAAGAAATTTCAATCGTTGTACTGTTGATATTTGGCTCTGTTGACTAATGAGTTTGCCGACCACTGACCTAGCAGATTGACTTTTCTTTTCACGCGAGGAATTCAAGAAATTGTGAAATGGGGCCATAGAGCAGGGAGTGGAAGGAACAATCAAGCAGCAGATGGACAGGTTGTCAGAACTGAACTTTGCAAACTTCGGAGCGCTGGTTCCCACTGACAATATTTGTTACTAAAATTTCTTTTCTATGTATTTCTCTCAAATCTCATTTTCCCAAGTGACTAGCTGGTTTGTTCAGAAAATGAACAATGAATGCCTTACATGTGAAATTACAAAAAAAAAAATGTTAACAACGGACATTTGGGAATTTAATGCTAAATTATCAAAGAAGTACATGGCGGGTTTTAAATATTTTACTTATTTCAGTTACCATTTCCTTTCATTAAGTTTTGAAAATATTTCCTTAATTAATAAAGATAGCTTTAATTGCTACTTCAGGATATAAAACTTGTTTTTAAAGTTTTTCTTAGTGCTCCACAGTATAAGTACTAAAGGAGTGTTTTTTAAAAATATGTTTTTATTGATTGCAAGAGAGGAAGAAGGAAGAGAGAGATAGAAACATCAATGATGAGACAGAATCATTGACCTAGTGCCTCCTGCACACCCCCTACTGGGGATAGAGCCAGAACCTAGGCATGAGCCCTGACCAGGATTTGGACTGTGACTTCCTGGTTCATAGGTCAATGTTAAATCACTGAGCCACACTGGCCAGGCGAGGAGTATTTTTTTTAAACAAAATGTTAAATTTATTCAGTAGACAATGCCATTCTTTTCTGATTTTATCCCTTATTTTATGTAACCAGCCCATGGACTTTTAGTGTGGAATTGAGGCTAATTTTTAGAGATCAAAGAAGAGCAGAGAATGTGAGCTTCCCCTTTGTCTTAGAGAAAGCATATGAAATGATTCTCTCTTCTTGTCCTACAGATGAAGCCTGATTCGTCCTTTTTATTTGGCAGCAAACTAGAAAGGAAACTAGTGGGAAATATCTTAAAGGAAAGAGGGAAAGGAGATATTCATGGAGATAAAGATATTGGATCCAAACAAGCTGAGCCAATCCGAATTAAAATCTTTGAAGGAGGGTAAGGAAACATAAGTGCAAATGGAAAAGATTCAGTGTTAAGTCAGTGGAAACGGTCCTGAGTGCCTGCATGGGAAAAGTGGTATCTACTCGGGTTGGAAGGGTAAAGTGAATTCCTTTTCTATTGACATTTCTGAAGCCTGGCTGGTAATAATGAGTTCATGTCCCTGCATTCATGACTAGCTTTTGATGAACATGTCTCTGTTGTAAATGGGTGGAGCCTCTGCTTTAAATCTTTATGCCTCTAATTTAGTATGAAATTAACTAAGTTGATGGAATCTTCAAAGTTTTATTCTATATTATTTTTTATGGGCATTTGTGTGCTATTAGAGGGCATTTTTTATTCTATGCTTGCAGAAATGCAATCCTGCACACTCACGTATAATCCTAGGCACTGGTTAATTTGTTTGTTTTATTGCTTTTATTACCTACACTCTAGATTTCATTGGGATTTCACCAGTTCCACAATGTCCTCTTTCTGCTCCAGGATCCAAGCCAGGGGCCACACTGCATTTAGTTGTCATTCTTCCCCAAAGTCCTCTGGTCTGTGACAGTTTTCTGTCTTTAGGAATTTCTTTTTAAATGTTAAATTCTGAGTGGTAGAAACATGTTATAAGGCCCAATGACTTTATCTGTGTAGTTAAGAAAAAGTACACATATGTGTAACATCCAGTTTTAGATTTCGATGGAAATGTATCTTTGATCCAGTCAATGGGAGAAAAGCCAAGATTTTTGCTTTTCAAAATTTAAAAATAATGTAAAGCACATTAACCACATTTAGGAGATTATGATGTAACCAGCCTTATCTGTATAACAGATCTATAATTTACATATTTCCATGTGTGTGAATTTATTCCAATTATATTTACAGGACAAAATAATGTTACCTGTTTGACTATAAAATGTTGAATGTTTAGTGAAATGAAATATTGATTTCTCACATAGATTACCAGTTTGGAGATGGATGATTAAAATTGCTTCCCTCTTAGGTTTGGCCTTCTTTTGATGGATGTCGAGTATTTTCACTAAAACCGTAGTTGCATATATAGCCATGAAGCTCGTCTCGCTATTTTTTGACATCCCTCATCTTTTGATACAAATGAGAGAAATATAGATTTTATCTTTCCTCAGAGACTGAGAGGTCCCTGTGACTGAATCAACCCTCTTACATTCAGCAGTCTTCATAGCAGTGCACTTGTACTAGATTAGAGAGACCTTCACAGTTACTGTGTGCTTTGGGGAGCCCATCTCCACTCACGAAGGACACGAATGAAAAAGCGTATGTGAACATTTTATTGCTGTGCTTTGATGATCCAAAAGGATTGTGCCCATATTTCATTTCTTCTGCCTTTCATTGCCCAGTTTTATAGGCTATGTCCCAATCATTCCTTAATCTGCGGTCCATTTTCTGCTTGGTGGTGACTAGGTTCATTCCAAGCAGTGTAGTACCAACTCTTATTTTGGTGATTACAAACTGATAACTTAAAAAAAGTATTACTGACCAGTTGTTTAAGGGTATGTGTTTTTTAATCTAATTTATAGATTTAGAATTTAATTTAAACATATCCTTTAATTACTTTTTTCAAAAATCTATTAATTCTCACCTCAAGTAGATTCATGGGTGTGCAGAATGGTAGGTTGGTACATATTTTACTTGTATAGATTTTTCTAATATAGAATAATAGTTTATACAGAACTTTACTATATTTCCATTCTCGAGTCAACTTAATCAGTGAAGACATTAAAAATAAAATATTATTTGAAGGAAAAATGTATTCTCATCCACTATGATGATGGCCTACAATAAGTTTAAAGTACCCTTCTCCAAAGAAAATTAGCTTTCTATGAAATTCTTTTATTCTGTATTTCTTAGATAATTTCACCTAGTTAGTGGGAGAGAGTAGTGAAATTAAAAGGTGAAAGATATTTTGCATCTGTAGGTTCTTACCTACTTTATGACAAAACACAATGTGAGATAAAAGATAAGGTCTAAAACAGTTTTGAAGAACACGTTGATACTGGAAATTATTTGTGAAAGAGGACAGATTTAAAGGAGCAGAAAGCATGCAAAATTAACCAATAATTTTTTAAATCTCACCTGGATTGGCATTAACCAAAAAGTAGATCATATTAAGATTAAATAGTATCTATAGCAGATCTGGTATTCAAATACGTGTGTGGATTTTTCTCTCTTAAAAATTCTTCAGTGCATTGGATGAATGAAATTGAACTTGCTTTTATTCCTGACGATGGATTAGCTGGGACCTGGGACGAATAGAGAAGTTTACAGTGCTCTGAGAATGTAGAAAATTAGAAATCTAGTGCCTTTATGTCAATCCCCAATGAACAAGGGCATTTTTATGTCAGTTTACCTTTTGAAGTTATAAATAATACTTCAAAAGGAATATCTTTCCAAGAATGACATTTAGAACCATAATTCGAGCCTCTCTGTGATTTAGGAGAGAATAAGGAAGTAATAATATTCACAGATTTATTCAATAGAATGTCACCCTACTCCATGGCAGATTATGTTTCTTTGTATTCTACACAAAATATGATGTTTGAGCACTGGGTAGGTGTCTTCTGTAAATTATCACAGTGAATACCTAAGACTTTATTCATTTAACTGATTTCATTAGGCATCCTTTCAAACTTCTCAACTAAATCCTCCAGGACACCAATGCAAATTTGATTGAAAAATTGAATCTCTAGTTTTCATTATGTGACAGTATCTCTCAGAAGCCACTTGAAATTTAGACTCCATTTGTATACAGATTCTCAGTCCTTGGGAAGAGCAGATAAAATCTGTAGACAACAGTTGGTGAGCTCAGCTCAGCCTGTGTAAGCTAGAAATTTCCAAGGCACTCTCGTGCCAGGATTGTAAAAATAGAGTAGAAACTTGCAAAGAAGAATTCTATTATCAGTTACATTAATTTTAGCAAATTTGGAGGGGTATGTCTGTTGTGCATGCACATCTTAGATTATGTAATATTACTAAATGATATATGATGATTTGAATATGTTGGGAGAACTTTTTGGATGTTTCTTGTTTGGAAGTTTTACTAGAATCCAAAAGTAGTAAGGCACAGCTCTGCAACTCTTTTAGGCTTCTATAAGCCCATTTGAACGTCTATAGCAAGTCCATATATTATACTTAATAGAAAAGAGGAAATTCCATGTTGAACTAAATGTAGAAGAAAGTCCATTTTGTTTACAATACCAAATCTATTATCTAGCTCTTTCAGGCATTTATTGCATTAATTTCATAGGTTTTGTAGCAGCAAGGTTGAATAATTATAAAAGCCCTTCATAAAAATTTGCCATGCAAATAATTAGCTTTGGGTTTGATTATATATACTGCGTGCTAAAGTATTTGAAAACACACTGGATTCCCCTTTTTTAAACAGGTATAAGTCAAATGAAGATTATGTATATGTCAGAGGACGTGGACGTGGGAAGTACATTTGTGAAGAATGTGGGATTCGCTGCAAGAAGCCAAGCATGCTCAAAAAGCATATCCGCACTCATACTGATGTCCGGCCTTATGTGTGCAAGTTATGTAACTTCGCCTTCAAGACGAAAGGTATGGGTCTGATTTTTTTTTTTTTTTAGAGGAAAATCACTATTTTATGACTACCATGGATTCCAAATCCCATTTTACAACTAACTTTCATCGACAATAAGATGGTTTTGTTTGTGAAAATATGACCCCATGAAATGTGTTTCCTCTCTCATGTAAGTGACCAAAGGATGTATGAGATGGTGAGGCTCCTTTTACAACTTAAGAGCTATATGGAGTGAGGCCCAGGCCAGTAGTCTCTGAAGGAAGTGGCTCAGAATTGCCTGGGTAGCTATTACTTCATGTTGGAAATGTTATGTGGTCTAGAGAACCTTTGCACCAGTATTGAAATACTGCAAGAAGACAATCCATGCAGTGGCATTAGGAAGCAAAGCAGCAGCTGGGGAAAAAACATGTGCCCGTGGTCAGTTTCAAGATTATAAATAATGTAGAAATCCACAGACTCCCAGGTGGGCCTCTCCATCCACAGTAGCATTAATTATGCATAGAAATTTGATAGCTTGGGATCTGTGTATTTATCAGCACAGAGACAATCTCTTACTCTCGGGTCATAACTAGGACTTGCCTTGAAATGACATTCTGTGTGTTTTCTAAATCTGTTTTTAACAGGTAGTTTCATATGAAAGCATTTTACAGGAGAAGGTTGCTTTGATTATGTTTCTATTATTTTATAGAATTATGAAAGTGTTCATAAGCCCAGTATTCTCAGAATACAAACAATAGTGAATTAGAGGTGGTTTGACTTTTGTAGAAGCACATTTTACTGTTTTTTTTTGTAGAAGTACATTAATGGCTCCTCTAGACCAGTGGTTCTCAACCTTCTGGCCCTTTACATACAGTTCCTCATGTTGTGACCCAACCATAAAATTATTTTCGTTGCTACTTTATAACTGTAATTTTGCTACTGTTATGAATCGTACTGTAAATATCTGATATGCAGGATGGTCATTCGATCGCCAAAGGGGTCGCAACCCACAGATTGAGGACCGCTGCTCTAGACACACCTCACCCTTCAGGAGCCTCACATCATTTTCCAAAGTTTTAACTTTAAATTTGCATTCCAATTGATCTGCTTCACTCCACATCAAGAAAAGTAAATATCAGAGAAAAGATAGCCTTTGCTAGAGAAATGTGGACTTATTTTCTTTTATAGTTAAACTCCTGAATTGTTTCAATGGTTTGTCAGAAGTATAAATGTGTAGCCTCTCAATATACCTGTTTCTTCTTTATTAACAAGCCAGAAAAGGGGGAAGAGAATGTTCATTTGCATTTCAAAAGAAATACACATAAGGTCCTTTAAATATCATTCACTTTTGCACCATCAAGACTTTCATTTAGAATTTCACGAAGAGACTTTCTGGGAGATAAAAAAATATAAACTTTAGTTTTAAAATATACTGCAAATCTGCCAGTCATTATAACAGATATATCTTCACTGGACATATGATTTGTTTGAAGGTACAGCTGTGTGAAACACTGGGGGAAGAAACATTTTAAAGATATTTTTGAAATCAAATTAAATTTGGCTTTGAACCATTGTCTTGGAGTTTAGAAGGAAATAACTTATTCTTGGTCACTATTTTAGTTTACTATGCACCCTTTGGAAACGTGAAAATTTCTTAGAATCTTAAAATGAGCAAAACATTCTGGGAATCCCTTCCAGTTTTCACCTCCTGCTGAGATCCTGTTATCTAAACCCCAGACACCTGAGCTCAGATCAGGAGCACACTCATAGGCCCAGTACTTCCTCCAGGCCCGGGCCACTCCTTCAGTGCCCTCCCTCTGCCACTCAGCTCCCCTCTTCTTGCTCTAAGCCCTTCAGAAGTTCAAGAATCCCATAAACCAAAGCCAAGGTGGGGTTGTTTCAGAGCCAGATTTCTAGCAACACACCTTCCCTAAAGATAAAAGCTCAGAGCCTGACCACCTGCCTGAAACGGGTGGAGAGAAAAATATAGAAGAAGAAACACATATTAAGATCTAAATAAATTATCTTGACCCACTTAACATCCACACACATCCACATACACAATTCCTAGCTCCCTTGCAGAAGTAGATGGTTTTATTAATTTATACTTATATTTAATTAATTTTCAGATTTTAGAGTTCTTGATGATTTATCTACAAAAATGTTTGAGCTTTTTAAAAAAAATTGTAATAATATAAGTAAAATAATAAACAACAGTGTCCTAGCTTAGAATTGTGACTCATATATTACATTAATAGCAAACTAAACACCCTTACAAGGGGAACAAACTAAGTCAGCAGGCTGAGGGTTTCCACCTAGATTCAATGAGCCTATTCTTTAAAATAAGGTATTTGCTGGTACACTGCTAATGCAGCATTAAAGGGCTTAGACAATATTATGGCCTTTACAACAATTAATTTCTGGATCTCTTTTGATAAGCTATATATGACATTGATATATATACATATATATTTCATAGATCCTAAGTCAAGAGTGATTAGATCAGTGTTTTCATAATTTCTTACATTATATATAGCGATTATACAAATCTACAGAAACTTACATACACATTTGTATGTATATACATAATTGTATATCTCTCTGTCATCATCATACATATGTGACATAAAAATCTTTTTTTCTAAGAATAATGGGAGTTTCAAGATAAGTAAAAAGGCAGTATTGCTGCCCCAGAAGAAACTGCTGTCATAAAGTATGCCAACATATGTCAGACAGATAGATGCTCAATACTGAGAATACGATTCCCTATAAGGAGTTAGCTAAATATTTGTATTGTTCTTTGAATTAATTACAGGGTTGCCCCTAACATTAGTTTGGATTTTTATTCTTCTGATTAGTTAGGATCCTGTGAGTCTAGTCTATATCAGATCAGTGCCAGGAGGTTGACTGTGTTGATAATATTTCATTGGGAAGTTTCTCTGAGATGTGTGACCCAGTTTGGCTTTTTATGAAGTACTAGAGGCCTGTTGCAGGAAGATTCCTAAAAGAATAGGGCTTCCTGTGGCTAGAGCAAAGCGGAGAAGGGAGCCAGACCCGCTGAGGTGGGCTTCACTCCTGCCTCTGCCGCCCCGCTTGCTTCCCCCACCCCCGTCCCCGCCGCCCTGCTTGCTTCTCCGCAGCTTCACTCCCTTCTGCAGAGGTTGGCTTCCTTCGACGTTGTCTTCAGTCTTCACTCTGCGCCTGTGTATGCAAATTAACCGCCATCTTTGTTGGGTTAATTTGCATACTCATCTGATTGGCTGGTTGGCATAGCGGAGTGACACCAATTAGCATGTTTCTCTTTTATTAGTGTAGATTAGGAGGCTGACCCATTTGGGCCAAAGATATTAGATCCCTTCTCAGCCAGGAAAGCTTGGGATTCCCAGTTGTGCTTGGAGCCTACCCTTGAAAAGATGTGACCCTAGGTGTCCACACATCCTCTAGAATGAAGAAAACCTGAGATTGGGCTACAGCCATCAGGGCTTAATATCTTCACAAACCAGATTGTCCCTCTTCTGTTTGAATCAAGGGATCATGGGTAGAAACAAATCCCTGTCATCTCAAGTGAATTTTGGAACAATCATCACATTTTGGTAGCATTAATTATTTTACTGTGTGTGTTTTCTAGGAAACCTGACAAAGCATATGAAATCTAAAGCGCACATGAAAAAATGCCTGGAGTTGGGCGTCTCAATGACTTCAGTGGATGATACAGAAACCGAGGAAGCAGGTATTTATCATTTAGTTGGTGGACTGTTGCACTACGTATGCTTCAGATTTGTGGCCAGTGGTAAAATAAGTTTAGATGTGTGTTTTTAAAAAAATGATCACATTTTATTTTATAAATACAAATTTAGAAAAGAAGTCTGACATATTGAATTGCTTGAAACCTACAAGAAGAATCAAATACATTTCATTTTATAAGTAGGAAGGGAGAAAGGTCTTACCAAGAAAATATTTCTATCTAGAACCATAAAGGAAATCCAGCTGTACTTTTGTTGTGTTAGGGATGTACATTTTATAAAACTTTCTGGGAAATTTGAAAATTTGAATGTCTTATTTTTCCTATTAAGAGGAAATAAAATAGGAAAAGAAAACATCATTAACCTCAATAGAAAACCTGAGGCTCAACCAAACCTCCTGAGACACTCTCCTTACACATAAGCTTATGCCTGTAGAGATAGGTTGTTGCTTTTATTTATTTTTTTCTAACATTATCATTTACAACATTACATACGTATTTGTTGGGGGTTTTCTATCAGTGGTGTGATATCTGAGATATAAGGTCCTACTCTGGAGTTTTTACTATAAGGTGGGTTGACATAGGACAGGTACATAAAAGATAAGAACCAATGCAGGTTTACAGAGGTATGTGTCCAGTGAGTGTTACAGGAGTTCAGAGATGGAACTATCTGCAGGGGCTGGAGGGTTGAGGAAAGCTTTTGGAAAGAGATGGGGCCTAAATTAGCTCCTAATATTGATGTTTGGATCTGGAACTCCACTATCTTTGTTCAATTGTTTCAGAAACTATGGAAGATTTGCACAAAGCAGCTGAAAAGCATAGCATGTCCAGCATTTCAACTGATCATCAGTTCTCAGATGCCGAAGAATCGGATGGTGAGGATGCAGATGATAATGATGATGATGATGAAGATGATGATGACTTTGATGACCAGGGAGATTTGACACCAAAAACCAGATCAAGAAGCACCAGTCCTCAGCCTCCTAGATTCTCCTCCTTGCCTGTGAATGTTGGTGCCGTACCCCATGGGGTTCCCTCAGATAGTTCCCTGGGACATTCTTCATTGATCAGCTATTTGGTTACTTTGCCAAGTATTCAGGTTACTCAGCTTATGACACCAAGTGACTCATGTGAAGATACCCAGATGACAGAATACCAGAGGTTATTCCAGAGCAAAAGTACAGACTCAGAACCAGACAAAGACAGGTTAGACATACCCAGTTATATGGATGAAGAGTGCATGCTGTCTTCAGAGCCCAGCTCCTCTCCAAGGGACTTCTCTCCCTCAAGCCACCATTCCTCACCGGGATATGATTCTTCACCCTGTCGGGATAATTCACCAAAGAGGTATCTGATACCCAAAGGAGATTTATCACCCAGAAGACATTTATCACCTAGGAGAGATCTATCACCCATGAGACATCTTTCACCAAGAAAGGAAGCTGCATTGAGAAGAGAGATGTCACAAAGAGATGTTTCACCAAGAAGGCATCTGTCCCCAAGGAGGCCATTGTCACCTGGGAAAGATATCATGGCAAGAAGAGACCTTTCTCCCAGAAGAGAGAGAAGATACATGACTTCCATAAGAGCACCATCTCCCAGAAGGGCTTTATACCACAACCCACCGTTGTCCATGGGGCAGTATTTGCAAGCAGAGCCAATCGTATTGGGGCCTCCTGTGAGTATGAGTAACTTTCTCTTTTTAATATGTAAGTCATAGCGCATGAGAATCTCTTGATAACACAGTAGTGTGGAATTTATAACATGAGTCTCTCTTGTGGGGAGGAGTGAACTCGGTTACTGAAAATAGCAGGAAGACATTTTTATCACAAGCTATTGTCAGTAACATGGCGGTGGCATTACCCCAAGTGTAGTAGTATTGCATCAGAGCCGTGGTGCATTCCAGCTGGTAACAGGTGAGGCCTTCCTAAATGCTTTCTAAGCTTAACTAATTATAAACATGAGCTGAAACTTTGACATGAATAGAAAAGATAAAGTCTTTGGACTGTCATGAATGCTTAGACCAGCGGTTCTCAACCTGTGGGTCGCGACCCCTTTGGTGGTCGAACAACCCTTTCACGGGGGTCCCCTAAGACTATCCTGCATATCAGATATTTACATTACGATTCATAACAGTAGCAAAATTACAGTTATGAAGTAGCAACGAAAATAATTTTATGGTTGGGGGCCACAACATGAGGAACTGTATGTAAAGGGCCAGAAGGTTGAGAACCACTGGCTTAGACAGACACTCTTGGGGGTATTTGGTTGTCATAGTTATAAAACTCTTTGCTAGGTAAGGATTCTGATTCAGGTATTAGTCTTGACTTTCAATAACTTTTTGAAAAATAAACTCATTACCTTGAGCACGACCTTGCTCCCAATGAGTGAACATGTGACACTAATGAGGGACTGGGAGAAGAGAGAATGATCCCTGCTGTATGTTTGTAAATCAAAGGCATCAACATATATGTGTGTGTTTTACCATTACTTCCATCTCCTGCTAACCAAGGGCACATGCTTAGTGAGATGGGGGCCCAAAGAGTGTGGGAATTTGGGAGAGCTAAAAGAGAAAGTATCAGAGGAGATTTCTAGGATATGCCCTCAGTGTAAATTAAGAGAACAATAGTACAATCATGAATTAAATTTAAGCAGAAGATTTAATGCAAATGCATTGGGGGAGGCCAGCTGCCTCCCTGTTACTACCATTTCACCAGCCTGAATCATAAGCTTAGGTTGTTGAATTTTTCAACTTTAAGAAAGCTCCCTGGTGTTGCTTTTTAGTCCCCTGCCACCAACATTCTCTTTTCACAAGCCTGCCATCAACTTAGTTTTCAAGCTGTAACTATTGCAGAAACATGTATAACAAACAGGATGGAATTTATTTGCCAGGCTAATAAACTAGCTAGCTAAGAAAAAAGAGGTAAGTTTATCTTTCTCTGACTGGCTTATTTCACTTAGCATAATGCTCTCCAGTTCCATCCATGCTGTTGCAAAAGGCAAGAGTTCCTTTTTTTTTTTTTTACTGCAGCATAGTATTCCATTGTGTATATGTACCACAGTTTTCTAATCCACACATCTGTTGATGGGCACTTAGGCTGTTTCCAAATCTTAGCTATGGTGAATTGCGCTGGGGAGGGCGGGGGTAAGGGGAAGATATCAACCGAAGGACTTGTATACATGTATATAAGCCAAACCAATGGACATGGACAACAGGGGGATGGGAGCATGAGTGTGTGTGTGTGTGGGGAGGTTGGGGGTTAATGGGGGGGATGAGGACACATTTGTAATACCTTAATAATAATTTAAAAAAAAAGAATAAAAAGAGGTAAGTTTCTACTGGTGTTTGTGTCTTGGTGCTGTTAAATAGAAAGGAGGAATCTGAAGTTAACGCCATTGCCGCATAAAGAGTGATAAAGCCCTCAGGTTCCAGGACATTGCATCTGGGTGTAAAATGCTTTCTCTGGTTTAGACCCAGTGATGCTGGTGGTATGTGTGAAATATGACTCTCCTGTTCTGAATTGGTCAGGTGGACTGAGACTGTGGTATTAGTAAGATGTTGGAGCATATTCAGTCAATTGTAGTCACCCAAAAAATAAGCCTTGCTCATGCCAGTTTAGCTCAGTGGATAAAGCCCTCAGACTCAGGTTTGATTCCGGTCAAGGGCATGTACCTCAACTGTAGGCTCGATCCCTAGCCGTGGTTGAGGCACAACCAATAGATGTGTGTCTCTCTCACATCGATGTTTCTCTCTCTCTGTCTCTCCCCCTCCCTTCCACTCTCTCTAAAATGTCAATATAAAAATATCCTTGAATGAGGATTAACAACAACAACAAAAAATAAGCTTTTAGTGCCAACACAGTTTTGTTATTAAAAAATAATAGCACTCACAATGAACTGGGGCAAAGGAACTGAAGAAGTAGGCTAAGGGAGTTCATCTAACTTTTGCATATACTAGTATGCCCAATTCACGTAGATATTTAATAGCATTATTAAACATTGCCATTTAGGCAGCCCAAGTACTGAGCCTTTGGTCTATTACCCAGTGTAATTATCTTGAGAGAATTGATAAACCACTTCTTTGGTCACATGATATGATGGAACAGATCTGGGAATCCCCCCTGAAGGAGAAGCATTTGATCCCAAACACTTTTATGCTTTATCACACAGTTTCTGAGGGGCAGAGGAGGATTTGCATCTTTCTGTGATGTATACATTAGCTTCTTGTTGCTGGACAAAATAAAATTGGCGATACTATGAGAAGTATTTCTCCTGATTGCTGTATTTGATGAGAACTTCACCCTTCTGAGTAATGTTTGAAAATATTAAGTTGCATTACCCCTGAAATAGTTTGTGGTGTTTTTGTTTTGTTTTGTTTTTTATGGAAATGCTATTAGCAATACCTTTGTGGTTGCTTAACCTTGACCAAGGGCTCACAAGGCAGTGACTGTGGTGTGAAAGGACCTTGTAGCCCAGCATATTACACTCATTATTAGTCTGAGCGGTAGGCCCCAGGGAGCAGGTTTGGAGGAGATGATATGCAGTCACTGGGACTCTATTACCCTGCTGTTTCTGCCCTAATGCCCCCTGGTTAGTTTCAATTTTAGGATGAATGGATGACTAGATAGATAGATAGATAGATAGACAGACAGACACATAATGCATAGAATAAGAAGGTAAGTCTTTTTTTCAGTTAGTAAATATTTCTTAAAAGTCTACTATATGAGGCTCAAAGATAAGGGTGAAATGTTTGATGTTTCTGTCCTCATCTTTTCCAAATAAAAAACATTTCCATTTTTAAAGATTTGGTAGATCAATAGCAAGGAGACAAAAGAGTGTCTTGGTCCTCAGTACATAGTGTAGATGAACATTGTGTCCAGTGAAAGAGTCCACATTCGGTTCTTTCCTTTGCTATCTCTATGATCTTGGGCAAGTCAATTAACCTCTTTGGTCATAGTTTCCTAATCTGTCTGTGGCAGCCAGAGAGGTGATCCAAGCAGATTTTGGTCCTGGAAAGAACTTGCCATTCAACTGTAAGGAATGTAGTCAACTGAAAACTTCCTGCTGTTAGCTCCTTCAGGGTACACCTCAGTTTTTAAGCCAAGGCCATGCTTTGTTCTGGAGCCCCCAGCCAATGCCTGAGCCCAGATGGGTCACAGCTAAGCTGAGCACTTGCTTCCTTTCCCCCGTATGTTCCCCTGCATTAGCTCCTCTGCTCCTGCCCCCACCTCCACACACACACCAACCAGTGAAACCTTGCAATCCTTCCTTCTTAGCATTTGCTTCCAGAGGGCCCACTGACACTCTTGAAAAGATGAGTGGGATCATCTGGCACATGGGAGATATATATAATACAACCCACACATGAATTCATTATTTGTATTTTCACATCAAGATTTTTCTTACTTTGATTTAAATAAGTTGTGAGTTTGTTCACATATCATAACAACAAAGCATAGATTACAGAACACAATAGGGTTGCAAATGGAGTAAAAACCAAAGTAGAAACACCTTATTGAGAATTTATTAGGAGGGTGAAGAAGGGGTGAATAGGCAGAGAGAGGATGTGTGGTTACCTGATAGGAATTCTGCGTGTGTACTAACTTCTGTGGTTGTAATCATTGATTTTCTGATCAGTAAAGGTCTAAATGTGACATTTGTATTCTTAACACAAATCCAGTTTTCTTGGAATTTGAACATAATGAATAAATTTTAGTTTTACAAGTTCATCATTCCCTTCAAGAGCCTTGAGTGAGAGACCTCATGCAATGGGAGCTCTCTCTCTCTCTCTCTCTCTCTCTCTCTCTCTCTCTCTCTGGCTCCCTCCTAGACCCCATTCTGATTAGGGATATGCAATGGCCATCACAGAATAGCAACCCAAAGCAAAATGGAAAAATAACCAACCACATTTCACCTTAAACTTCGAATCTGTAACAACTGTGACTAAAAGAAGATTCACTTGATTATTTTCAAGTATTATTGTAGGCATTACAGTTCTTCAACCTTAATTGGTGTTTGATAAAGGAAATGTGCCTTTTTCAGAACCGAAGCAAATACAAGTAGGATTTTTTTGGTAGCATGTAATGACTCTTTCATGCCATAAAATTCTCTCCTTATCTAACTTATTAGGCCCTTGTGATTATAGGGTTGATGATTACATGATTTCTCATGCACTTCCAGGACAAATCATTTGTTTTTAGCTTGAATAAGTTGGAGCCTGGAGCAGGGCTAGGGCCAAGTATGGCACAGAGTAGCAGAGATGATGCATAATTTATCATTTCTGAGCCGATCTCACAATCTAAATAGAACTGGATGAATCATTAATGGTATAAAGCATACCTTGAGTTTTAGAACTGAAACATTCATGAAATGAATGAAAACAGTTTTTTTTTTTTTGTCTGTCTCCTGGATTACTACCATACTTGACATGTTTAATCTCCATTTGATTTTAAGTTCTCAAAAAAATAACAATAAACTGATGATAACCCATTAAAAGAATGAATCTCAGTCATTAAAACCACATAATCTCATTAAAACCTGATAATCTCACAGTCTAAATTGTGTTTTGCTACAGAAACATTTGTAGAAAATAAATTTTCCATTTTCTGGGTTGGAAACCATGAAATCTGGAATTCTGGCCAGAAATTTTAAGGATCTTTAATTCATAAATTTATGACAAGATACGTAAATGGAAGTAATAATATAAACAGAGGACTTAAGACACAGTTGTCTTTGGTTCCCACCTGTGTAGTTGAGTAAGAGCTGTAACTACCCAAAGTATTTAGAGTTAATTGCTTATCTGATGGATTGATAGTTTCCTTATAAAACCCACCCTTGATTTGATGATAGGAATGTATTTCATTAGACTAATAACTTGCACTTTGGAGCAACCAGTTTGTGTATTGCCATCATTTCGTCATCTACTTGGTAAACAGGCTTGTTACTTTGATTGTACTTATTAACACTTCAGAAAAATGTTAAAATTCTACATAGTATGTAAATGGATGGTAATATTTTTAATTTCTTTTGAATTTAAAAATCTATTATTAGTGTCGTTTTGCTTGGAAAACTTTTTCTAGTAATTTTCCATTATTTCCTTTTCATTCTTTCTTATGAAAAAAAAGCAGAGTTAAAATTGTAACCTAGTATGAAACACATGCATGTTTTATCACATTGCTGTTTATAAAGTAAAGTAACTTTCCAAAGAAGGGCAGCTTCATTCAAGGATTCTAAACGACAACTGAGATACCTCTTTTGTATTGAAAATGAAAAATTAATCAAAGGATCAGGTAGTTTTAAAGTGTTTTGAATGATCCAGTGAAAGCATGAAAAAGCCTGACCTAAGCATGAAGAACAGCGGGTCCTAACTGTTGTGCTCTCTGTTTCCAATGCAGAATCTAAGAAGAGGATTACCTCAGGTTCCTTACTTCAGTCTCTACGGAGACCAAGAAGGTGCTTATGAACATCCGGGCTCCAGCCTCTTCCCTGAGGGACCTAATGACTATGTCTTCAGTCATCTTCCACTCCACTCTCAGCAACAAGTACGAGCTCCTATCCCCATGGTGCCCGTTGGTGGGATCCAAATGGTTCACTCCATGCCGCCGCTCCTCCCTGGTTTACATCCTGCACCCACATTGCCTCTGCCAATGGAGGGCTCTGAGGAGAAGAAAGGAGCTTCCGGGGAATCCTTCGCTAAGGATCCTTACGTTATTTCTAAGCAGCACGAGAAGCCATCTCCTCACCTTCTGCAGTCATCTGGTCCACCCAGCATGCCCTCCTCTCCTCGGCTATTGATGAAACAGAGCACTTCGGAAGACAGCTTAAATGCAACAGAGAGGGAACAGGAGGAAAATATACAGACTTGTACAAAAGCCATTGCCTCTCTCCGGATTGCCACAGAAGAGGCCGCTCTGCTTGGGGCAGACCAGCCAGCACGGGTGCAGGAGCCCCACCAGAAACCCTCGGAAAGTGCACATGTTAGCATTAGACACTTTAGTGGACCTGAGCCAGGCCAGCCCTGTTCCTCAGCTACCCACACTGACTTGCATGATGGTGAAAAGGACAACTTTGGTACATCACAGACTGCATTAGCTCACTCCACGTTTTACAGCAAGAGTTGTATGGATGACAAACAGTCGGGCTTTCACGGCAGCAAAGAATTATCTTCAAGCACAGAGGAAGGCAAAGAACCTTCGTTGGAAAAGAGTCAGCTACATTGATCTCAGATGCATGGAGACTTTCATTTCCACATTTTCTTATTTTGTTTTGTTTTTTTTTTCTAGAAATAGAGGTAATCAAGTTTATAGCATGCCTGTCCTGAGTTACAGTAGTTTGCTATTATATATACTTTTGTTATAGCAAAAGAATAGGTAAATTAACAAGTCATCATGAGCCTGACCAAAACAAAATTTGAAATTAACCTATTGGGTCTGGTACTTTTAAAACTGTACAGATGTTTGTGCCTTTTCTTTACTTTGCTTATATTCTTATAAGCATTTTTTAGCAGTAATTTGTACATATTTTAGAATTTGTGTATCTGCTTTGTAATAAATGTAATTTCTTTCCTTTTTTGGACACTTGGATCTAAATGATGTAAAGCAAAACAGCATCAATATATATGTGAGGTTGCACTAAAACATATTTTTATATGATTAAAACTGAACAGCTTTTATGTACAGCTCTGATTCTGTAATACTAATATTTATTTACCTTGTTTCATAAATTGTACATTTTTTCTTAATGTTGTGGATTGCTTTTCTATGTGAAGCATGGGATTTACTGTTGCATAACTAGAACAAAAATGTATATTGTAAACAAGATATTTAAACTAGAGTATCTTATTCTGCACTTATGCATTAGTTACAAAAAAGATAAAGGATGTATCAGTCAGTTCTTAACTCTTGTAAATTTTTTTGTCTCTTGTTTGCTGGATTGACTATAACTTAAGTGCTGATTGTGATTTTAAACTGATAGTACCGTAAAGCATTAAAGTAAACAATGTGCTATTGTGAGTTTTTTCAAAGCTTTATAAATCAGTTATAAATAATATTAAAAGTATTTGGTCTTATGTGAACATGTTGATCTATATACTCATCGAAAAATATGGGAAAACATTCCGCCCCATGTAAATATGTACAAGTGCATCACTGGTACAATTTTATGTAACTCAGTTGGACACTAGGTTGCCACAGACCTATGCTAGGGTGTCTTTAAAAATTAAAGTGACAAAGCACATGGAACTTTGTAGAGCTTGGTTATCGGCCGGCCCGGTGGCTTGGCAGGCAGTGCTGGGCGCTGCCTGTGGAGAAGACCTGGGCTTAGAAATCTCCTTGGTTCTTGCTGCACACGATGGTGACTGAGCTAAGGCTACTATGGAGGGGTTACTCTTGGACTCTGAGGAGTGGGTGTGGAAGCGGGGAAGAGGCATGGAGACCTACCTGCTCACAGCCCTTCCTGTCAGCCAGTCCTCACGGTAACAGGGTTGGCATCAGCTTTAGGAGAAGCCACTTTACCCTTTGGAAGAGGGGAAGAGTGTCACACTTCTGGCTATCTCAGGGGGAATGGGAGGAAGACGCTTTCCAGGGGAAAGAACTTGTGGGAGCAGGATGTTTTTTTGTATATAACATTCAAAGTGGGCTTTGGTTGGTGGCATAGGTGGGCAGAGCCTTTGTAGGTCCAGAGGAATGGCAGAAAGGGAGGGTACCACATGTGCACACACACACACACACAATCTGGGTTATCTTTGTGCTATATAGTGGATTATAATTCTGTGAAACCAAGTTTGTACATTGAATTACATTAAGGAGTGTTCTTTAAAAGAGAAATAAATATACAATTACATGCTTGAGGTGTCTAGTTTTTATGTGTTGTTTTACATTTTAAGTTTGCCCATTTTGGTTTCTAAAAAAATTTTGATGCTACCAACATACCATCTGTGCCTTTAATTGCCAGGCTCTGCCTGTCTTGCGGAATGCTAATATGAATGCTCTTAACAAGTGAGAGACAGTCATTGGCTTCCATATGTCTTCCATTAAGACAGATAGTGGTCACCACAGTGTGGGCCCAAAAATGGACTCATTGGAATGTCAGCATGGGCACTTGAAGAGTATATTGTATCTGAAAAGAGTCATGGGTAAAGCAAATTATCATTTCCCCTTAGGCCTCCTCTCAGTACGCTTACATGTCTGAAATTTCACTGGGGAAACCTCTTTTTTAAAATTTTGTCAGTGACTGAAGGCAAAAAGCCAACTGAAATAAGTACATCATAAAATATCTACATATCACAGTTCTTTTATTACGAAAGAGTAGAACCTTTTAAATAATGAAAGTAGAAGTTTATTAAAGGTCAAAATCTATCAGTATTGCCATTATAAAAATCTCAAATTGGTGGATTTACAACTCAACTATTTTCTTTTGTGAGCTAGACTGTCTTTTTAAACAATGTTTTACAAAGGTGAATTAAAGGTCAACAAAGCCAGCCAGCCTAATATCTGTCTGTCATGGAGAAGCATCCTTGAAACATTCAGTTACTTAGAGTAATGTGTGTCTTACTCTAAACCAAGAGCTCCCTGTCCAGATTTGCTTAAAGAACAGTTTCTGATTATGTATGTTGTTCTCATTTAGACCATATTACAATAATGACAATTTACAGTAAAATGCTAGGGTTGAATGATCTCAAAGTAACAGAAAGCCCATCAAGGTTATTATTACTAAGGATGTTGGCATCTACTTTGTCACTGTACACTGTCCCTCCCTCCCCAGGCTGTTTGACATCAGAGCTTGAAAATGTTCCCCTTGATTCTTGAGTGTAGAGAAACCTCTGCGTACCCATACTCCAGATTCAGCAATAAACACATTTGGCCATGTAGCAGACGTACTGAAGCACAGGGAAAATGTCAGAAAATACTTTATTTGGCATTTAAAAGTGCCAAGGAATAACGAGCACAATGTATCAATCTTCAATATTCCAGAACACTCTATGGATCATTTTATATGTGCACATCCATTGCTTAGCAACAAGTAGGATTGCATTCATAAATATATGTTGGTCATCAAAATGAGCCAAACCATCAGATGGCCTCTCTCTGTTTGTTAAATGCCTAAAGTGTATTTTAAATTCGGCTACAGATGACTGACGTGTTTTATACTTCAAGTAGATGCCAAGCTTTGTCATCTTCTTAAAGTATACATTTAACAATTGTGGTTTGATGTGAACAAGATTTATTTTTGGCAAAAAAATATAATGCTTAATACATTTTAGTAATTCATTGACCATTATGTTAATGGATAAAATAATAAAAAAATAATAACTTTTCTATTAAAAAATTCCTAAGGAGTCATATGATATCAGTGATCAAGCCATATCCCCAAAGCAAAGTGAAAAGTTCAAGCAGTCCTGTGGATAATGAAAAGAGAAAAATTAAAAAGGTCCCACAGGACTTCTCCAAGGAGAGCAAGGTGTGGGATTACCTCAGTAACTGTGGTAGATCAAACAGAAAGTGTGGCAGCAGCAGGGGACTGGGGCGCTTCATTCTGAGCACTGGCCTGCCTATCGAAGCCCCTAGACATCTAAATCCTCACAGGCATTGCGTTTTACAGCCAAGTTCCCAGCACGAAGAAGGGCAAAGGCCATGTGGATCCTCTAGTCTTGAGCATCTCTACCCTTAGCAATAATTTGTCTTGAGGTGCAGGTCTGATTAGAAGATAACCCTCAATTGTATGAATACCCCTTGTCATGATTTAAGGGTGGATGGTGGCTTTAGATTTTGCAGACTCAAAATTGTCATCCTTGTCAGTCTCATCTTATTATTATACCTCATACACACACTGTACATTGTCTAGGGAGCCGGTTCCTTGAATTGGGACAGCATTCCAATATGAAAGCATTTTTAGCTAACAATTAAGAACTATATGCTAACCCTGTTTTCAGTGCTTTAGACTATTCGCTCATTTAATGGTCACAAAACTGAAAGAATTAATTGCTTGTGTTTACACAGCTAGTATGTAGAAGAGAGCAGGCAGTTGAGTTCTAGAGCAAACTATCCAATAGAATGTTCTGCAATGATAAAAATGTCCTGTTATCTGCCTTTTCCAATACAATCCTCTCTAGCTACCTGTGGCTACTGAGCACCTGAGATGTTCAAGTGTAATTGAGAGACAGGTTTTTTAAATTTTATTTAATTACTAGAGGCCCAATGCACGAAATTCGTGCAGCGGAGGGGAGGAGGGTGTCCCTCAGCCCGGCCTGCACCCTTTCCAATCTGGGACATCCCTTTCACAATCTGGGCCAGCTGGCTGCTATCCGCTCGCCTGCCTGCTTGCCGGATCACCCCTACCACCTCTGCTGGACTGATTGCCACCTAACCACTCCCCTGCCGGCCTGATGGCCCCCCACTGCCCTCCCCTGCCAACCTAATGGCCCCTAGCTGCCCTCCTCTGCTGGCCTGATCCACCTAACTGTCTAACTGTTCTCCCCTGAGGGCCTGATCCCCCTGACTGCCTAACTGCTCTCCCCTGCCAGCCTGACCCCCCTAACTGCTCTCCCCTGCTGGCCTGATCACTTCTAACCACCTCTGCCTCAGCCCCCACCACAGTGGCTTTGTCCAGAAGGAAGTCAGATGTCTGGAAGATGGCCAGTTGACCCTTTTATTTAGTATAGATACGTAATTTAGTGACGATATGTAGCCACTGGTTTCTGAATTGGACTGCACAGCTTGACAGGTTGTATACTTACTTTTGACACAAGCTGTACCACATATTTCCATATACGTTCAGTCATTTGACAAATATTGAACTCCTATTATATGCCAGGCTCCCTTCTTGGTAATGGGTATATAGGAATGAACAACAAGAAATAGAACAAAACATATGCCATGATAAAACTTGTGTTCAGTGCTTACCATTAAACATCCAGTTAAGGATTTTGGTAATGCAGTTCTACTGATTGCTCCTCTTTCTGTTGAGTTTCAGACCTTGGAACTCACCCAAGGATTAACAACAACCAAAGCATGATTTTATGAAGAGGTAAACAAGCCCCTGATGCAACTCCTCCTCCCCTGCTGGAAGTCTCTCTTACAAGCTAGGGTGAAGACTACATCATAGTGTCAGGACAGATGCAAGTCCCCACTTCCTGCCTTGGTGTAAATGCACACGCTCCAGCAGGTCTATGAAGAGAGAGGCAGGACTGGGCTCCAGGAAGGGCCCGACAGCCTACAGCTCCTGCCCAGGAAGCAGAGGTCTGTGGGAAGGAGCTGTCTGCCCTGTGCTCCTGGAAGTCCCGCCTTCCATTTCTGAATAGCACACGTAAGTAAACTGGAGGGAAGCAGAAGAAAAGAATTAGCTGGGCCGGTGGTGGTGGGGGGGGGGTGGTGTCTTGAACTCATAGGTCAGCTCTCCTTTTGTAGAATCTTCCACCTTTTTGTAGAAAACTACCATCACCACAGACCCACTGCTTCCCCTAAAACACATTCTGTGTCTCCATGTTATCCTCTTGAAATCAGTGCGATTATAAATCAAGTAATATTAAACTGACACAAACTGGACAAAGAAATAAAATAACTGCAACTTAGGTAAATAATTGGACATCGCAGCCATTTCTGGAAAGAATTAAGCTCATCAAAAGACGATTTAACTATTTTCTCAAATCTCCTAAGGAGAGCTCGTAACTAGTACCATCCTCACAGTGGATGTCTTAGCTGGGTCCTATTCTTATGGAATCCTATTGGTGAAGTGGTGTACCATAGTATACTTTCCCGCCTCAACTCAGGCCCAGCCACACTGTCACATCTGGTTTACCAGATATTGTACATTTAGTATCACAGGTCAGCATAAAATTCTTTCAATTTGTACTTTAAATGCTACTTCAAGTTTATATGTGCTATAAATGCAAAGGATATGCCAGATTTTGAAGACATAGCACAAGGAGAATGCCAACTATCTCATTAGTAATTTTCATATTGAAAACATGTTGAAAAGATTCCATTTTGGATATAGTAGGTTCATAAAATGTTATTACAATTGATTTCCCATGTTTTCTTTTCTAAATATTGCTACAGAAAATTGACTGTTGCATATGTGGCTCACACCACATTTCTATTGGATGACTTTTGAACCGAGAAAACTGCACTTAGCTGAACACGTGTGTAGGAATATACAACTGCACACACTAACACCTACCAGAGACCTCATTTCACCACCTGCATTATGAGCTACATTCACACACATAGTGCACGGTGTCCTGACTTTCTGGATCATTTTGGAGAACCCCCCTGCCACTACTTCACAATAACTCATTAATTGCTTCTCTCTGTCACCACTTCCACTGGCAATCTTTAGGTCTTTTTCACATTAAGTGCTCTATTTATTGTAATACTTTTGTATTTCTTAACCATTCAACACTGTGCAACTACTGTTGCTGGGGTCCTATCTTTATGTGTCACCATGAAATTTCTGAGTATTATGTCTCAACTCTGTTTTTCTCATAAGCCCTGTAGACTTTATTACATGATTTTGGTAGCACAGAAATTTTTAGGAAAGCACATATCTTCTTATAGCAGAAATTACTTATTAAAATTCTATACCTCCCCCCCATCAAAAATATGTCTTTATAATAACACAGAGTTCAGTTCTAGGTTCATTTCAATCTAAATAGATTTTTCACTTTCAGGGGTGTCTTGTTTGAAGGGTCATTAGAAAGTTGGACTAAACTGTCTTAAGCTTTTCTGGAACTCCAGTACCAAAACCCCATCCCCAGAAACCCATCCAATAAATGTCAGTGGCATTCTACAATCATAGCATCAATCACAGAATTTCTAAAATGCCCTGGAAATATACTGCCCCAGATGAG